AGTAAAATTCCAAAAAAATTTCTCTGAGTTTTAGAATTAATAAAATTTCATAAAAATCCCTAATTTAAAAAAAAATTAATCTATATTATAAAATTATAAAAATAAAAAAGAAATCCCTTGAAATTCCAGGTTTTCTAAATTTTTCAGTAATAATAGTAAATACTGTAGTAATAAAATTTTAGTTCAGATCCACAATTAAATCAAGCCATAGTAAGCTAAAAAAAATATCAAAAGTAAAAATACAATGTCAAAAGTAAAAATACAGGATCATTACATAAGTTTTTAAAGATTCAATTGCACAATGAATAAGAATGAAGAATGATTTGTATAAGTCATTCGTCCTACATTGAAAACGCACAACAATATTTTAATCGAGAGTAAAAGGCATCGAGCTAACGTTTCGTGGCAGACGTCGTCGCAGATTTGTTTCTTCGTTCATACAAAATTGATTTCTCGTTCTAAGCGAGTAAACGCAAAGAAAGACTGGCACGACGTTTGTCTTGTGTTTGGACCGCAAAATTTCCAGTATCATCGTCGCTCACGTAGAGACAGAGGCCGATGCACGAGCAGTGCATTGCCGAGGCTTTCACGGTGATTGCTTTTTCGGTGTCGTTTGTCAGTCTGGACGCTCGGCGAGAAATCATTCGACCGTAGACGAAGCGAACGCGCCATGAAACCCTCCGCGAAGCATCTTTGCATTCCCCGTGGAAGCACCGTCACGTTTTCTTTCTTTCTTTTTTTACCCAAGAAAGATGCAAGGATAATTTTGATGTCGCTTTTATATATGAGTATCGTTTAATTAATTTTAGAGTTGAACGGAATGTTTAAATCAAATAAATTTAGAAAGGTCAAAGCTCAAGGTTAGATCTTGTGTCTATTAATATTTTATGTGTAAATTTTAAATATATCTTCCAGTTATATAAACTACGCGCCTAATACTACTATCAGACTTGCAATGCAATCATAAACTGAACTGAATAAAATTATAGTATCGTTAAATTAATCATTCATTTAATAATGATGCTCTTAAAATATTGCGAAGAATTTATTAAAAAATATGTATATAATAACCCAACAAAGATTTGAATCTGGAACCTCCCGATCATTCGAAACAAATTCCAATTTGCTTATTAAAGCATGTGACAATGTTTATCGCTAGTATATATAAGGAAGGAATGTATGAAAAGTCAAGGTGTATAAAAAATAATAAACTAGATCGCTATTTGAATAAATCAAATAAATACAGAAATACCAAATAGAGATATTTAGAGTTACAGTTACAAAAACGTATTGCTAATAAAATTACGTTTTTACTAAAAACGCTTGAAGAAATGTACTTTCTTTATGACTGCATTCGAGTTTTTTTTAATGGAAATTTAGAATGGATTTAGAATGGAAATCAGAACAGAAACAAAATTAATACATTCTTTTGTTCTAGAATAAATAATTAATATGAATATAACGCTTTCTTGGAATGGAAATATCATTTTGAAAAAAATTCATTGTCACAATCAAGAATTATTTTAATGTTTGATACAAATAGTTTTATCTCTGACAATAGTATTATCTTAATAATTGAAGAAAGATTTTAAATGTACGTATATTTTAAATTTTTAATTTTAATTTACATTAAATATAAATTCTAGATGTATATTTTTAACATAGCTCGCAATTAATTTTTCTTTGACAGAATTTAATTTACGTTAGTAGTAAATTTAGC